TCCCATGAGGTGGAATCAAACACTCTCTTCCTAATAAAGTAGCAAAATACATAGATACAACAAGATTTAGAATTTTTAAAAGTACGTATTTCATAAGTTGTTTCAGTCATTGAAACCTATGGATTTGAAAGCTACCATAAATATAAAGTACCTATGTTCAATTTGTTTTTATTTACCTGATATATAATAAAAAAAATTAAAAATGAAATTTCCAAAGAATATTTACAGAACAAACGTTCTATAAAACTCAATCTTCACTAGAACTTCTTTTTACTTTGAATTTAAAAAGAAAATTTTTCTTGGTACATAATCTTCACTTCTTGACACCAATAACTGTAAAAACAAACAGCTGATGGGTACCATAACATTGCAATCATGGCTAAACTGACCAGATCAAAACAAGACAAGTCAAACAAAACTAAACACTGAATCAAACACAAGCAACTGGCAGGATTCCCAGAAGGTTACCAAATTTGGACTTGAGAAAATTGTCAGTGTTTCCTGAAATTTTCAAAGATATCCTAGTTTTTCATTAGTAAAAACCAAAATGCCAAAGAAACAACAAGAAGAATACTAAGTTGAATCATTAGTAAACACGAATCTAGTGGGGAAAAAAAAATAACCTTTCCACAACTGATGGCTATAGATTAATTTCCTGGACATCAACATCATTTTCATTAAGGAAATCTTTTGAATAAATAACCCTGCAATCAAATTTGGTTAAATGGGACAGGCAGATCTATAGTATTCCAATAGCACTTTATTTTAAAGTATGTGCTTTTGTCACATTAGTTGATTTTTTCAGAAGACAAGGTAGTTGAATGAAAAATTGTGCACAGTAGGAACACAGGAAACCTGAGTTGTTATCTAGTGCCACCACCATTCCTGAGCCCCCAGTCAATGATGTCTACAAGCTTCTGTTTCCCCATTAATACAGGACAAATTCTAATACCCCTCACCATTCTAAAAATTCTATCAGTACATAGTAATCCCATGGATATGGTTACTGTGTAATGTTACAGGACCTCTCTTTATAAAGGATATGATCACTTTACCCCTTTTCATAATAAATTGATTTTAATTTATTAATAAACATTCATTTTTAATCAGCTTGGACATCAGCATTCTTAAAAAAACTGTTCTCAGTGGGGGGACTTGGTGAAGGGGGGAGCCTAGTAAACACAATGTTCTTCATGTAATTGCAGATTAACGATACCAAAATAAAAAAAAATAAAAAATAACATAACATTAAAAAAAAATTGTTCTCAGGTGATTCCAACATGCAGTTAAGTATGGAAGCCAGTTGGTTAAAGCAGTGATTCTTGAAGTTCAAAATGTTGTATTATTTTCTGAAACTTGACATAGTTCACTTATTCTGAAACAAATTCTCCCACTAGCTAAAACAGAAAAACCATCAAATGAACATAAATTACTACTTCTTTTTTAGGATGCAATTTTCAGAGGAGAAAACAGAAAAGAGACTTCAGCTTAAACCATTCATCAATGTCTAAGGTAAAATAATAACAAATTCTTATTAAGCATTTACTATCAGCGAAGTACCATTAAAAGAACTTTATATATGTTAATCCACTTACTCTGCACAACAACCCCACAGAAGTAGGTACCATTACCCGAATTTTACTTGTAAGGAAACAGAGGCAAGGTTATGTAACTTGTCCAAGTTCAAACAATTAGTAAGTGACAGAGTCAGGATTCAAGGCTAGAAAGTCTAAGAGTATGTGTCCTTCACCATGAGATGAAGAAAGCTGGGGACTCAGCCTTCATGGCTGATTCTTTGAGATTGGACCACCTACCAGAAATGAACGTTTCAACTTTGTTTCTCACAAGAATGACAAAAAATCAAGCTACAGAATTAGTATTGCATGCTGAGAAATAAAATCAGAAGATAATAACACAAAATAAGAACATGTATCCATTTCCTGTGATATGTGTTAATCACAAGACTTTCCAGATTGACCTTAATAGTAAAACCATCCACTTTGGAACAAAGAGGGTCCTCAAAATGAACCTAAATGAAAGCCAGGTAACTCTATCAAAACCTAGGTGAGCCAGTGCAATTAAGGTTCCTTCACTGGATAGTCTCTGCTCCAGGCCTACAAGTGAAGAATCAAAAATCACTGTGAAACTTTGCAATACTGATCATTCATAATTGGTCTCTCACTGCAAGCAGTGCTGTCACATCCTGTCCCTCTGAACTGAGATATCACTGACCCTCATAACTCTTCAGTTAAATTATCCAGAACACATTATTCGATTACTGCATGTTTTCATTTTTCCCATCAAGATTTTTGCCTCTGATATTTCCTTTGTATCCCTGCAGCTAAGATTCATTTCATACAGTGAGCCAGAGAGAAACCCTTTTTATATTAAATTGTAATTGCAATTTAATGTAATAACATTAAATTCCAATTACATTGTTACTAACATTAAATGGAAATTTCAAAAGTATCCTGAGAAACACCTGATTTCCCGAGATGCTTTTATAATGGAAATTGCCTTATGTTTAGTCATCTAGAAGTCACATAAGATCATTAATAGGTGGGGGTACCACTTCTTTTACTTAAGGAATCAAGAGTCAAAAAAGACCCTCTATCTTAGAAATCTAATATTCAATTTATCACTGAAATTAAAAGACAATCAAGACTAATTTCAAAGTACAGAATCCTTTGGCATCCTTTTTAGAATACCATACATATTTTTTCACTAGAACTATTTGGTCCTAGGAGGACCATCCAGATCAGTTCAAATCAAATAATGTGGAAGGAATTGCTCTTGTGTATGTGATTAGAAGCATTTTGAAATTATTGCAGTTAAAGACGAACAGGACTCTTAAATTACCTCACCTAATCATTTTGCCAGTTTAGGCCTGTCCTTGCTCTGTGTCCTCATTTTGTCTTCTCTTACATTGTCTTGAATAAGCCTTGATGTAACCAATAAGGTTTCATTTTATTCTCTCTCTCAAGAACCTAAGAAATTTCGAAAGTACTTCTCAACTGGTTCTCTTCTAATTCACAGCATGCTCTTTCAGATGCTCTCTTACCATTCGAACTTTTTTTTAAAATAAGGAATGATATTCTGGAGATATCCATTTTAAGCCTACTTAAATGTGTATGCTAATAGATTATAAGTGTTACCAGATGGTTAGATCCTTCACCATAAGCAGTGAGTACATAAATAAATACCAGGCTATTGCCTTGAAACTAATCTACTAAAAAAATTTTTTCCAGAAAGTTCCATATAAAACATGCAATAAAGTTTCAAAGATAATTTGAGGGTGGTCATATGTTAACATTCTGGTAAAGAGTAAAAACTAAATTCTAATAATGAGGTTGCCACGGAAATACAAAATCTAACTGTGTTATCAATACATTTTTCATTTCAAGGTGTTTGGGGATTTAGGTTTGTGTTTTGTTTTTAGTTTGTGTGTGGTGTGTGCACATTCTGAGCTAACAAACATTTACTATGCTAGACACTTTAGAGGCATTATCTTATTTAACCCTGACAACAATGTGAGAATTATAAAATATGCATTGTACTACTGCAGTCCCCATTTTACAGACAAGGAAAGTGAGGTTTGGAGAAATTATGCAACTATACATGAGGATGGAGAAGCAGAAGAGCAGGTCTTGAACCTGAGGCTTGAGACTTTACTTTCTGCTCCTCCCCACTGCTTACTATCTCTCAGTTCTCTCAACACAGCTTAGTACCTGTCGCCTAACAAGTCTATGTACCTCCATCACAAATTGGCACAGAAACTAGCAGCAAGGGAAATCAACATTCTCTGGAAAGTCTTGTTACAGTCGGCATTATGTTCATCACAGCACACATGTGCTTGGGCTGGGGTCATGCCTGTTTTAGCTTTTCTTATCCAATATCGAATTTTCTAATCCACTTAAGCCTATTTGCCAGGTTGTTCTTTTTCTGTACTAATATCTTAGAAACAGCTGGAATTTTTTTTAGCTAAAAATTTGAAGTCTCTATCTGTATCACAAGAAAGAAAGGGGCCACTTCACATAACTCAGAGACATGCAATGCTGATTCTCCTTCCACTCTGGGGAACTGGCATGAATCCCTTAAAGCTTCAGTTGCTTTAAAAAAAAAAAAAAAAAAAAAGGGTCCTGATGTGGGGCGACAAGGATGACCTGGGATCATCTCACTGGGAGCCAAAGATTCATGGTAAATCTGTCTTTTATAGGATCCCCCAAAGCCCACAGTATTATTATTTTACACACACACACACACACATATATACAGTACATATTATTTAATATGCGTAAAATCCTACTGGTGAATTCCTATGATTTTCTGAAAAGGGGTCTGTTTCCTCCTCCTCCTATGGAGGAGAATTCGCAGGCGTTTTTCCTACCTTCACTGAGCTCAATATTTCTCAAAAGTGAGCAAACACTAACGTCACCTGGAGGGCTCGTTAAGAGAAGGCGGCCCCACCCCCCGAGTTCCAGCCCGGCTGGAGTCCGCGCTTCTCACAGCTCCCGGGCGTGCCCACGCGGCCGGCCAGGGACCTCCCTGGTTCCCCAGCTACTCCGCGTGGGAGTCACCTGAGAACAGGTGTGGGTCTTTTCAGACTGATGCCCGAGGTTCCCCTCCCGAGACTGATTGAACTGGTCTGGGGTGCTGCTCCGGCATGAAGTTTTTTAAAGCCCGGCCCCCGCCCCCCAAGGTTGCCTGCTGAGCAGCAGCCCACGGCCCCCCCGCCCCCCCCGCGAACCCTCCCCCTGCGGAAGCCGCAGCCCTTCCGAGAACCCAGGTGAGCGCAGGGGTAACCGCCGCACCTTATTCATTCTCGGGGGCCGAACACTCCCAGCGGCCGGCGACCCTCCCAGGAATTCTGCAGGACAAACCCTGTGTCCCAGCCTCCAGCCCGCCCGCGGGGTTCACCCCCCGGTCTCGCCGACCCGGACCCCAAACGCCCAAGCGCAGCCCCGGAGGGCAGGACCGGAGCGCGGGCGGCGGCCCCTTACCTGGCGCGGCGTCCAGGTGGGGCTCCGGCCGCCGCCCGCGGCGCGCGCCCCCGGGGCTCCGGGCGTCCCCGCAGCGACCAGCCGCACCCCGGACGAAAGGCGGGCTGGAGCGGCTGTGGGGCCCTCGGCGGAGGGGCGGCCCAGCGGCGGGCGCGCGGAGCCCGGGGGGCGGAGCCCCGAGACGTTCTCCCCGGCCGCGCCCCCGGCGGCGGAGGCGGGACGGAGGGCCGCGGGGGCGAGCGCGGGGGGCGCCCGGCTGGAGACGTGCGGGGTCCGATCCTGCGAGGCCCGGCCGACCGCGGCTGCGGAGAGGCGAGCGGGGCGCAGCGGGCAGCAGGGCCGATGGGGCTCCGCGGGGAAGGGCCAGCGCGCGGGGCTGGCGAGGGCCGGGGCCGGGCTCATCCCCGCGTTCTGCCCAACCCCGGCAGGTGCCTGCCTTTGACCTGAAGTGGAAGCTGCCAGAAAACCTGAGGGAGGTCACTGTCAAGTAGTCGGGAAGGCAGTTGCCTTTGAGAACATAAATTACAGGGCCGCCCTGGACGGAGGTAACTGCCTCATGGCAGCAAAGGGATGCTCTCGCTCTGCCCCTTTCAGTCCATTACGCACACAGCAGCCAGGAAGTGGACCCTCCTGTGCTTAGCAGCCTGGTGCGCTCTGGCCCCTGGCCTGCTTTGGCCCCTGGCCTACTCTTTCACTGACCCCCCCTTGTCCCTCTGCTTCCTCACCCCTCCCCTCGCATGGCCTGCTTTCCCTCCCTTACACCCATTAGTGTGTTGTCCTCTCACTTGCCCTTTTTTTTTTTTGCCTCCAAGGCTCTGCCCCAGATCTTATCATAATTGTCTACTTCTCTTCCCTGGGGTCTCAAATGTCACTTCCAGAGAGTCCCTTCTGCACACCCCATCCAACTGGAACCCCCTACAACCATTCCCATCCTCTAACCCCTCTTTATTTTCAACAGATCACTTTTCAGTACTTGAAATTGTATTATTTCTTCATTGCTTTTTTTGTTTTGCATCGGTGTCAAAGTAAGCTCTATGAGGACAAAGAACTGGTCTTGTTCCCAGCTTTAACATCTGCATCTAGAACAATACCTGGAACATAGTAGGTGCTCAATAAATATCAGCTGAATGGATGTTGAATTAACTTCTCCCCAGGGGAGAACCTTCACAAAGAAATGCTTTCCTTCAATACTCAATCTTACCGAATTCAGATCAGAAACAAATATTGTGGGAGGATCATTTCCTGCATTCCTTTCATTCATACTTCCATGTTATAGTCCATTGTCATGTAGTATATTTCTCCATGGGTCATATCAATGAAAATACAATAATGATTTTCTGATGTGAAGACATGGATAGCAATATCCTCATATTTTTATTAATGAAGAGACTACCTCCCAGCCTGTCAGCAAATGGCCTCTTTACAAAGGAAATCAAAGTCTGCCAAAGCTACACCCAGCTGATTGGGCTGCTCATCTATTCAAATAGAAAAGGGGACCTTCAGACAGATTAAAGATGGCAGAGTGAGAGGAGAGACAAAGGCTTCCTCCTAAAACTGGATACAATTAGAAAATATAATTGGCGCAACTAATCCTGAGAGAGCAACAGGAAAGAGGACAGTGTCAGACTGCACACACCTGGAGAAAAGGGCAGACCTCAGTGAACTGAACGGGGGAGGGGGGGGGACGTACCAGAGCTGTGGCTCCGTGGGACTGAGCCCCTCACCCACCCCAGCTCACCGGCTGAAGGAAGAGAAACGGAGCAGGGAGGGAGGGGAAGGCCTGGGACTGCTGAATACCTAGCTCTGGAGATCTGC